GCTGATCTGAGGCATGCAGACCTCACAAAGATAGCTCTGTTGTTAGCAGGGAAGACGGGTACTGTGTATGCACAGCTCTTGGGGTCTGATGAGAAGTCACTGGAAAGACCTGGTCCACTGTTGGCCTGCCCGTTTACATTGTTATAAAAGTAGGTTCTGATTTTGCCCTCATTTGCACGGGTGTAAGTGGTGACACAAGGTGCAGAGCAATGATGTATCGAAGCTGTTGTTTTCTGTGAGAAATGGATTCCATGCGAAATGGATTCTTTGGATCCACCAAAAAAGTGAAATCTACATGGGTTCTTCTGGGTTGCCGGGGTGAAGATCAGGGTTAGCTCTTCAGTCCTGTGCTTGATTGGATCATTCTGAACCACTTCTTTATCTTCAGTCATGCCCAGTTGAAACAGGATTTGATTGAAACCATAACCATCTTGCACAGTCAAGGAATGCATAGAACAGATGGGAGAATGCAAAACCTGCTTCTGCAACAATCAAGCGGTTCTCGCTCAGCAGCAGGAAACTGACACTCGGGGAAGAGTTCTTCGTATTTATTAGCCTTTGGCAATTCCATGTTAGTATGACTTTTGGCCAGGCCACTGAAGTTTTCAGCTCATGTTCCAAAAAGTTGCAGGTTAAATATTTTTGGCTCGTGTTGAAGAGATGACTACTGCTTGTTTCACATGGTATCGCTTTGTGGTATCTAAGTTACATGCATAGGGTACAGAAGGAGCAGAGACCCGCTTTTCTTCCAAATGAGGTGATCCTAAAAGATAAAGAGATTGCCTGTCATAGCTAGCTAATGATATTACATATACCTTACCGAATGCATCTCCCTTTTAGTAAAGTACTGGATATGTATTGACAGATCTTCTCATAATTCTAAATAACTCATTGTAACTAAATTGTAAGTAGCCAGTTGACTAGCCAAAATGTTTTCCTCCAACTCCAGTTGAAGAAATACTGTATCTAGTACCATTCTTACACTGAACTACATTGAAAAGTCTCAGGGGGTAGCCATGTTAGTCTGTAACTTTTAAAAATAATGAGTAGCCGGTGACACCTTAGAGACTATCAAAAATACATAGTATCATGAGCTTTGGTGGGTAAAGCCAACTTCATTTTTCCATTAATTTCACTCCAGCTCATCTGATAAAGTAGGTTTTACCCATTGAAGCCCATGATACTATATATTTTTGTTAGTCTCTAAGGTACCACAGGACTACTCAATATTGTTTACATGTGTTTACATGGCCCAAATCTGGAAGTCCTAGATCACACCAGTTACTCCATTCTTGGGCAAACTCTTACAAGTCCTCTAATTGTGCAGTGAGCTTTGTGTATATAGGTGCTGGTGATTTGACAGAGTTGTATTGTCTGACCTCAATACAACCTGTCTAAAGTTCATTGCAAAAGAAGGGACCAAAGGCCCTGATCCTTGCCCCTTAAAGTCTGTGGAAGTCATTTTGTTGACTTTGGTGAACTTTGAATTGGAAATAAATTGGGCAGAGACTCGTAAAAATTGAGCAAGGTTCTGAGGAGATGAACCAGTGTACTTCCCTAAAAGCAGATGGAGCAGACAAATAAAGCAATTTTTGAAAAGAAACAAAACAATTCCATGTTTTTCCATGCTACATTCTTGCTATAGAATTGTCTGAGAGGAAATACTTTTTCCAGGTTACAATGGACTCAGAAAATGTCCACTGTCATACAAAGGCTCGGTTGTTTGTTTAGTTGACTTGACGACCACTCTTTGTAACATGAAGGATATTTCTCTCAATCCATTGTCTGATATTGTGTGGAAAATTAATAATGGCAGTTCTTGGCATGTGACGATGCCAGAGGAAAGCTCCACTTACATTTGAGAATTAAATGGTGCTGCAATAGGTGTTACAAATGACTTTCTTCTTTTCAGGTCTAGATGTAGCCTTAAAATCGATGGAGTAAGAACAATAATAAGTACTGAAACCCACCAATTTTGATACTTGAAAGTGATTAAAAGATCAGTGCACTTTGAAACATGTTTAACAATGCAGAAAAGTTATTAAATGAGTAATTTGAAAATAAGAAAATAATTATGGTTGCCCGAGTTAACTTCCATAATAGTTCTTCTACAATTATAATACTTTTTAGAAAATAATCACAGTGGCTGACTAGAAAGCTGATTGGATGATTGTGCCAAGTGAAAGGAATTGAAGAAGTGTTAAGTTAGAGTCTGTTACAGAGAAGTCAGACAAGATGTTATTACAAAATAACCCATATCCAACCAATCAAAGCAGTCTATTCTGCATTGTCCATTGTGTTCCTTTTTTATAACCTCAGAGCTCAAAATCTTGCACGCTACTTTTTTTTTTAATTAGGAACACTACTACAATTCCTTGTGTTACCTCACTTTTCCCTGAGCAAAATGTTGCATTTACTGTAGGCGTATCAACTTCACTTCCCACCTCCCATTTGTTTGAATAAATCAACACATCCACTGACTCTACCTTTTGAAATGAAAGTGCCTGAAACTAAATCAGCTTTGAAGATTGTGTTGTGTGATCTGACCTTGGAATTTTATTTATTTAGTTTCTTGTAGGGAATGATTCTGGTCATTAAGTTTTCACAGGATGGCCAATGAAGAATAAGGTAAAGCAGTAGCTCTGGATTCACAGGATGTCTGCCTGTGATGTTTCTAGGTGAAGCTTATCTTTAGAGAGATTATGACTTTGTTCTTCTTTTTTTAAGGAAATGTGGGAAAAATTAACCATTCTCACTACTGAAAATGTCTCACCCAAATCCCTCATCCAGTTAACCTCGAACTTCTCAAGAAATGTATTCCTTGGCAGGAAAAATATACGTGAATTTTTAGGCAAACTGGTTGAGTAGTAAAAAAAACACCACAAAAAACCACAAGTAGTCCTGTGGCACCTTAGAAACTAACAAATAAATACAGACTGGGGGAGGGTGGGGGGTAGAAAGTTCATACTTTCGACATAAATTCAGGCTTTGTCGACACCCACAAGTTGTATGGCTTGAACTATGCTGATAGTAAAAGTGGTAGGAAACCTTGCTCCCCCTGTATACGGACACAGTTATACCTGATACGAAAGTGCTTCTGTAA